GCAGGTGCAATGTCCCCTTCCCCTTGCTGGGTATGAAGTTCATCTCCAGCTTTGGGACTTTCTTAATATTCCTGTTCCTATAACAAAGTGTGCTTAGGAAGGGGCTCCATGGAAAAGAGATCTAGAGAAAAACTTGTGCAGTTTAAGGTCAGGTTGATAAATGCTTTTAGCCTTTTAAGCAGGCTGAGGCCTGGGACCTCCTGCACTTGAACAACAGGATACAAGGAAACCACAAGGGGTCAGGAGGAGGGCCCTGGCTGCTGGGATGTCTTCCTCCTTGCACCAGTCAGCTCAGGCTGCAGAACCCAGCACCACAGATTAAACAACAGAGATTTACCTCTTGTGGTTCTGAAGGCTGGACACCCAAGGTCAACATATCTGAGAGTGAGTTTCTCCTGAGGCCTCTCCCCTTACCTTGCAGAGACCACCTTTCCCCTGGGTCCTCATGTGGCTGCCCCTCTATGTGGGTCTCTGTCCTCTTCTTACAAGGTCACCTGTCCTATTGGATTAGGGTGCACACATATGACCTCATTTTACCATAATTACCTCTTCAAAAACCCCATCTCCAAATATGGTCACATCCTGGGGTCCTGGGAGTGAGGATGTCAGTGTATGGATAGGAGGGGGGCACAACTCAGCACACAGTATGCTGCTGCACCCACATGTCACGTGGCATGGGTTTTCCGGAACCCTCTCCACACAGAATATTTACCAGGTGAATGACATTTCCTCTCATTTATTTCTCAAGAGCTCATTTTTTTGCAAAGCCTCTTCATTTTAGGAGGTTTAAGGAAGAAACATAGAAAAACAAACTGAACTAAATCTCCACGTTTGAATACAGTAAAATCTCATTAATTCAGGCTTACTGGAGGGAAATATTCTAGGAGAGCGAAGGCTTTCCACCGAAGACTCCTTCAGAAGTTTCCTTGTAACTAATTGCTCTATTCTTGTCGAGCCCCGAGAAAACCTGTTTTAATAAACAGATAAGAATCATTTGCAGTTAATAGTAGCATTCGGGTGCAAAGAGCATGCTAATGTTCTTGACTAATTACTCCCCTGTTCCGGGTACCTACCCTGATGCTGGGTTTCTCATCTGCATCCCTCCACCTCATGTCCAATCTGGGTAGACATCTCAAAGCATGGTATTTTGAATTTCCTCTTGCGCACGTGGTCTAATAGCCTTCAAGGGAGACGCTGGAGAGCAATTCAGCTCCAGATAACATGTCACTGGAAATTCTGGATTAGAAACCAGATTGTGTAATCACTAATTCATCATGGCCCTTTCAGGTAAAACAGAGGGAAGAACAATCAGGCAACAGTCACACAGAAACTATTTTCTTCCTTTAAGTTAATGGTCCCCCTTGGTTTTCAACGGAGGCGTAGCCAATTCTCCCAGGTTTTGCTTGCTTTTAAACGAGGTTATCAACTCCCTGTGCAGCAATGAAATGTGCCAGCAAAGCTCCTACTTAGTGCTACTCAAGCACTTAATTTTCATTAAAAAGATGACATTGCCAGTAATCATCAAGGACAATCCACATTCGTGGGTATTTTATATTCATAAGGACAGATTGTGACACAGAGATGCATAAATTACCCAGATCCGTTTCTCTGCATCCTCCTAAGCTTGGCTGCAGGCTGGTTGGTGCTAATTGCTTGCTTCCTAAACCTCTCTGTTTAGGGCGGCTGTGCGAGCTGTTCTCCATGTGTTCACCTCCCACACACACACACCCCTGCCAGGCTGATGTTAATCCCCGGGGCATGATGCCAATGGTTGTTCATTATGGATTCATTTCCTCCACTGAGAACCCTTTTAACATGCGTCCTTTAATTGAAAGACACGACTCAATTCAGCCTTCTGTCCCTCTCCTGCCCCTCACCACGCCCACACTGATGAGATTCAAGGCTGCTGGGAGCCACAGCCGGGCGGCTGCAGCCCCAACAGCAAGCCAGGAACCCCATAAAGACTGCTGCCAGGTCTGACCCGCATGACAACCCGGAGCTGTCACCCCACAGACGATGGTTAAGCCGAGGGTCGGAGGAGGTGAAATGATGTGTTCCCAGCTCTCTCAGCTAGAAAGTGGAGAGTCAGGATCTGAATCCAGGTCCACCTCTACCCAAAGATCTCATCCCTCTGCTGTGCCAGGCGGGGCTTCCCAAATGTGAGCGGTGAATGAGTGTGCCCCAGGCTACGTCCCTGCAGGGTCCAGAAGATGCAGGTGAGCACCTGTCTGCTGGAGTCCTCACTTAGAGAGGCTAACCTGAAAGGAGAGGAGGGGAGGGGTGCTGGACCAGTGATACTGGGACCGTCAGCTTCTGATACAGGTGAAGCACTGAACTCACACCTTAATAACCTCTGCTCCGAATACAGAGCAGTGATGGATAAAATGTAAGAATACAGTCAGAAAGATGTAGCCAGGCTCAAACAAACAATCAAATGATGGATAAATAACTCCACAGACCAGAAAAGGAACTTGAAATGCAGACATTGTGAAGCCAAGCGCTAGGCCTGCGGGCTCTGGGCACCTGTGGTGGTAAGTCTCAGCCCTGCCAAGGGCTGGGACTGAAAGCTCCCTGCAGAACACAGGATGCAGGAACCAGGCCACTGCTCTGCCCCAGTGGCATTAACAAGCAGGGACTCAGAGGATGCCGGAAGCCACCATATAGCCTTGCAACCAGGAACGAAGGGTCTGCGACATCTCCCCAGACACCAGGAGATGGAAGCCCTGGACGCTGTCCCCAGGGCTGGTTCTGAACATGGAACCTCTGCTCCCTGGAGTCAACCAGGCATCCAGTAGGTGGGGAGATGGGACTCAGAAGAGCACGTGCCAAATTAAACAAAAGACCTCTGATTCAGAACAGACCTGCAGACTCAAACCTCATCTCAACAGAGAAATTGAATGCTAAAGAGCCAACACACAAAATCCAAAACCCAACAATAACACGAATGCACGGATGATAAAATAAACCTCATGGAACAGCCCGCAGTCTGACAAAGACACTCAAACTAACCAGCTCAGGAGGTGCAAAGAGAAAAATGAAGGCATAGCTTTCATTCATAAAGAAGAAATGGAGATACAAAAATTCAAACGGCCCCTCAGGGACAGGGGTGAGGGTGGCAGCTCCCTCCCCAGTGGCTGTGGGCTGTATTGGTGGGGGCCAGGGTGGGGGGAACGCCCGCCCTCGGGGACTGTGCATTCTAAAGGAGGACAGTTATGGTGACACTGGGGCAAAATGTCATGGGAATGAGCCCCGCAGATTCCAGGTCAACGTTCCAGCGGAGGGAGAAGCAGGAGGGAGGTGGTGGGGAGGGGGGCCGGGGGCGGGCGTGCCTGGTGAGTTTGAGGAGCTGCCAGGAGGCCATGGCTAGAGGCACGAGGGGAGGTGGTAAGACATGAGGTCGGGGGGATAACGGGTCAGATCCTGGCCGGCCTTGTCAACCCGTTATGACTTTGGGATTTACGTGGTGTGAAATGAGACCCTGGAGGTCCCCACTGGAGGAATGTTAACAACATCATAAAATTTGAGGTGTTGAAACCATACCTTAGAAGCTGGGTGACCCGGGAGGCTCCGGCCACAAAGGGAGCCACCCCCGGAGGTGGTGAGAAGGGCCGATGATGGACACAGTCTGGAAGCTGATGGGCTGAGTGCCTTGTGTGAAGGAGAGGGACACAGGAGGACTTGGGGTGAGGGCCTGAGGACCGACAGGGTTGCTGTCAACGAAATGAGGCCCGACCGTGCCATCCGTGTAGGTTAGGGGCCTCAAGCAGCATGTGCCATTGACCTAATTCCCCTTAAAAGAATTTATTGGAAGGCAATTCTCGTAAACTTACGAAAATATTATGAGAAAAGATTATTAAAATGTTACTTACAATTTTAAAAATAATTGGAAGCAGCCCGCTTACCCAGCAGTAGAAGTCAGAACACAGACAGGAAGACCTGGGCTTCACTAGCCAGCCAGTAGCTGCTCCCAAATCACTCCTGCTGGCCCACCTCCCACTTCAAAGGTAACAAAGCCAGGCACTCACTTCCCCAGCCTCCCTTTAGCTACAGGTGACCTGTTTATAACAGAGAAACCAAGAGTGAATGCATGGTCATGAGCTTGGAGGTTAGAGGTGTGGCTGGGGTTTCCTTCCCCATTATAAGGTCAGATATAAAAGGGGCATTTGCTGGTGATATTCCTTTACCATTTTTTCTGCCATGGACATTAATGCATTGCCTGGAGCTGTGGCAGCCACTTTGGGACCATGTGGCAACAAGCACGGCAGTAGAGGGAGAGGCAAGGGGCTTGGAGAACAGCATTCTAAGAAAGCCGAGAAGAAAGCCAGACAGATCCCGGGCCACTGGCAGAAGCACTGGGCACCAGAATGGACTGCAGCCATTGCCAGCCTCCAGACTTCTCTTTGGAAGATGATGAATCCCTGCTGTGAAGCCATCGTGGGCTGGGTTCTCTGATAGTTGTTATTTTAATTTCCGTGTTACCATGTGTCCTGAGCTGGTTCCCCTGCTGGGTCTCTGATGGCCTGAGTGAGGGAGAGAATTAACTCTTCTGGGACAGTCTGGACTCAGTAGCCGAGACTCTGCCATCGCGAGGGAGCTGGCCTAATCACACTGCCCAGTGCCAGGAGCTGGGACCTCAGACCAACGCTGGATGCTTTGTCTCCATGGCCAACTTTCCCTCAAAGATTGGGCTCAGTGCCAGGGAGCTGGACCCTGGAACGACCAAGGGATGTAGGCACTGTTGTTGCCCACTTCAGAGACGGGAAAACCGAGGTTAAAGGGCTGGCTGTACCACCAAGGACACAGCCACCGAGAGGTAGGGCTGGGGCTGAACCCAGGGGTGTCTGACCCCAGAGCCCAGCCCCAGATGTACTTCCTCCTCCAAAACCTGTTTTCCTAAAAACTCTAGAAGATTCAGGCACGGGGGCACCTGAGCCTCCCAGCAGAAGCCACGGAGCCAGAGCCGGCAGCCCCTTGACAGAGGACACACTGGGCTTTCTCAGGAAGGCAGGTGGGCAGGGGAGCTGCTACCTGGAGACCAACTTCCAGAAATGCAGAGGGTCCTGTTGTGGGGAGGGGGAGCCATCCAGGACGGAGCTAACTAGACTGCAGGCTCCACATTCAGAGCCTGGCACACAGCAGGCACCAAATAAACACACAGCACCTGCCCCCTGAGGAATGAGAAGTGGGTTATTACTATTAAGGTGGCCCCCAAGGGCACCCACAGGGAGCTCCAGTCGTGAAAACAATATGCAATTTATGGCGCACCCACAGAAGGGAATATTCTCCAGCCATTGAAATCTCATTCTCAGAGAACATTGTAAGAAATGGGAAAATATTTATCAACAGTGTTAGATTAAAATAAAAACCAGGATCCAAACCTAAGGGTCCAATATCATTTCAAATTGGTGAGATTTAGAGCTAATATTTGTAGGATATTAGAAGAATGTAGAAACCAGAAGATACAAAAACAACAGCTGCCCCTCGAGATGGGATCAAGGGCCACTTGTGGCTGTTTTCTTATTCCTCTGCATTTCCCAAGTCTCCGTAATGAACTCAGAGGGCTTGACAATTACAAGGAGGTTATCGCCAAGGACCGCCAGGCTGGCCGGCCTGCCCAGATGGCCGGTGCCGTCTCTTTCCTGGACACCCCTCCTCCATCCTCTGGACATGCTGTGAAAGTGACGAGTGACAGCATTTCGGGCCTGCATCCCGAGTCTCAGCACCTTGCTACTGGTAACTGACATCAGCTCCCGAGAAACCCATCCTCCAGTTGGCCTCTCCTTCTCCCCAGGCAGAACCCCCAACACAGTGTCCTGAGGGGAGCAGCTTGCATCAGGACCCGTCCTTTGGACACACAGTCTCCGTGCTCTGGAATTCAGTAGCTGCGCCTTGGGACCTGCCGCTTCAAAGAACAATTTTAATTGAAATGGTAATGATGAAATTTCTTCTCCCCAAAGGTGGCATGTGCATTGTAAACACTGTGTCCCTCTGCCTGGAAGACGGCCCTTGAGATACCGCAGGACACAGATCCCTGCTAATGAGGGCTGGTCCCTGCCTGGGATCCTCTGCACCCAACCCCACGCAGACCCAGAGCTTGTCGGCCAACAAAGCCATGTCTCTGCAGGGAGTGTCACAAGGCCTGCAGGATTCTAACACACGTGAGGAATCCACGCTCCTTGGCAACCTGGCATGTCTGCTGCCTCCTAGACACTCAGCCCCGGGTCCTTATGGTGGGAGGGGATGCCTTTGCACTTGGCCTCGCTGGGAAGTCTGCGGTCTGCACTGCCTCTTGAGAAGAGCTGGGGTTCAGACAGCGTGCAGGGCAAGGAACGGAAGGAAGGACAGACTGAGGTTCCCCGGGAGACATCGCAACAGATGAGGAGACTGCACTTGAAGAAACCTCCCCGCTCTTCTGAGACGTGTGAAGCCCGGCCCCGGCCCGTGCTGTTTCTAAGAAACGTGCCACGTGGTGACAGGCCACGCGGGCCTTCAGCTTCTGCTCAGACTTGTCCCTTGGACAGAGCAGCCCTCAGTGGAGGCCAGTGGGCGCCCCGAGCAGGCACCCCGGTTTGGGGCAGGCCCATCTCCTGCAGGGCTGCGGTCTGCACACAGCAGCCCCTGTAGGAAGAGGGCTCCCAGGGCAGGCTTCTGGTGCTTGTCTACAGGATTTAAAGCTCAGGTCCCTCCAAATCCGGCCAGCCTGAGGGGGAAATGCGACACCATCCCCATTCTGCCTAGAAACGCAGAAACGCCCCCGCCTGGACGGCCTGCGCCTGGTGGGGCCGAGGACACTGGGCGTCCCCAGCAGCTGACAAGCAGGGAGGCGTCCCATCTGGTACAAGTGGCTTGTCCCATGAGTCTGAGGTCATCTTTGGCCCTTCAGCCCCCAACTCCTTGCCCTACACTTGGTCCCTAGGGAGCCACCCTGCCCCATGACTGACCAGTTGTGAGCCTCCAGCCAGGTGATGTTCAGTGCCTCGGCTGTGCCACTACGTTTAAAGCCCCTGGACAGGGCCTGGGCTGTAGGAAGTGTCCCATATGGGTGAGCCATGCTGGTGACAATCCCAGCCAAAGGCCACCTGTCCAGCAGAGGTGTGTGACGCTGTGCACGGGCTGGGGGCTGGGTCCCAGCACTCCCCGGCTCGCTAACAGGCGTGTGCTGCAGTCTCCCGTGCTCTGTGCTCAGCACTGCGGTGACGTAGGGGGGCTCTCACCGCTGGACCCTGGAGCCTGGCCCCGAGGGGCCAGAACTCACTCCACCCTTCCCTGGTTCCCCGCCAAGGCTCTTTTGTTTCCATTTTCTGGGTTCCTACTCAGCCTGGGAGAAGAGGAGAAGCCTGCCCTTGTTCTGACCCAAAGGTTTACTGGGAGGTCCTCCCACAGTGACGGGTCATCGAAGGAGAGATGCTTGTGGACGGGGCTTTTCCGGGGAAGAGATCCCGGCAAGAGTCCCACAGCCGCGGGTTTGGAGTCAGGAGGCCAGCTCCAGCCTTGCCACGGCTGATGGTTAGATCTGACTCCTGGGTCAGTCACTTCTCTGAGCCTCTGTTTACCACCTGTAAAATCAGAGGACCGTGCTGGACGGATGGACGACCGCCCCCGCCAGCCCAACCCCTGCGAGCCAGACCACGGGTGGGGGCAGGGTTGCCTCCCAGGAGCTCAAGGAGAAAGGCTCCGAGAAAGCAAAGCCCCAGGGCTGTGGCCGAGATTCACCTTCTGGGCAGAAACCCTTTTAACTCCTCTGGGAAGATGAGTGGGCATCTGCATCTCAGGCTTCGCTGGCCTGTCCCACCCCTCAGTGGGGCGGTGCTGCGCCGGTGAGACTTGGCACTAAGTCACACAAGGAGAACCGGGGGCCGCCCTGTCGGAGCGCCGTGCCCGCGGCCAGCTCTACATCAGGCTCGGGCCGCCTGACGGGTGACGAATGGCACACAGACCCCACCCCACCGTGGCACACGGGCTGGCTGGGCACAGAGCCCCTTGGAGCTGGACGTGATACCTGGACCCTGCTTCTCCCAGGTGGCCTGTCCCACCTCTGACTGTCCAGCTGTCAGAGTCCCCTGGGGGCGGGGCTGTGGACTCCGGGCCCAGCACAGCCAGCTCACTGAGCCCGGCTGGACTCACACCTGTGCGTCCAGAGGGCAGCCAGGAGCCGGTGAGACTGGAGCTAAGGGTGCAGAGAAGGCAGGGTAAGAGGGTGGAGGTGGGGGACCGAGTCGGCCTGTGAGGCCATTAAAAGGACAGTGACTTTTTCCCGTAAGGAACTGGGAAACCACAGGAAGCTTCCAGGGAACAACCTGATCCAATGCAGGTTTTTAAAGGATGCTCTGAGGCCTTCGGTGGGCGCCCGGGGGAGGTGGTGCAGAATTCTCGTGAGAGGGGCGGGCGGTGGGACCAAGGGGGCAGTGTTACCTTTTGGAGGTGGTGCTGGCCAGATTTGTGGGAAATTCAGCCGTGGGGTATATGAGAAAGAGGGAGGGGGTGGCTCCCAGGTGCAGACCTAAGGAGCAAGTTGTCATCTGCAGCGACCGGGAAGCTGTGAGGACAGCAGGTGTGAAGGAAAACATCAAGAGACTGTCTTTGCAAACACCGTGTTGGAGAAGGTGCAGCGGGAGCCCACGCCTGCCGGGGGATGGGGGGTCTCCGGCCCTGACTGCTTTCAATACGCTGCTGCGTGGTAATAATAAAAAGCCGGCGGGTTTCCTCCATGTTGTTATTATTTTTGCATTTCTGCAGACAGTGCATCCCACCCCAGCGGGCCCACTCCTACCTTTGTCTGGCGGAGGCACTGCCTTGAGGCACCCAGTGGACGCCAAGTGGACACACGGGGCAGGTGGTCCAGAGGCCACCTCCAAGATCAAGAGAGTCCTGGGAGGCTGTCATCACACATGGACGCCATCTTGAACCACTGATCCGAATATCACAACCCAGGTAGACAGAAAAGAACCCGAAGCAGCGAGCCCTGGGCCTGCGGCATCAGGAGGCAGCAGCAGCGAAGGGGATGACAGCGCGACTGCAAGGGGCCACTGGACGTTAGCGGCCGAGAGCCTTGGACAGGACCAGCCAGCCCGGGGCTGCCGGGCCCCTCCCCCGCGTGGCCAGCTGTGCAGGCGGAGCTC